TCCTAATATTGGTTGTTTTGGTCCTCTTTTCCCATAGCCTTTTTATAGGATTCTTAACTCTGTTTATCTTTCTAAAGAATCAGATATTTTGTTCTTTGTTTTTGATTGTCTCTATTGACTTTCTATTTTAAAATTATTAATTTGTGTGTGTGCGTGTGTGTGTGTAAAAGCATACATAACTTTATACATTTTTTCCACTATTATTGGGTACAACCTATTATATGTTAGATCAATTCAGAATAAGAAAAATAAAATCTTTTATTTTACTTCCACTTATTTTTTCTTTAATTCTCTTCCTTTTTTACTGGAGAATATTTCCACTTATTTCTTCTTTAATTCTGTTTCATTTTTATGGAGATCAAGATTTCTGACCTATATGCATCTTCTTCTGTCAACAGAAATTCTTTTCATATTTCTTGCAAGACATTTACACTGGCAGCAGATTTCCTTAATTTTTGTTAATGTGAGAAAGTCTTTATTTTTCCTTCCCTTTTGAAGAATGATTTTACAGGGTAGAGAACTGTAAGTTGGTGGGTTTCTTCTCTCGACGCTTTGAGTGTTTCCTTTCACTGACTTCTTACTTGCATGGATTCTGAGCAGATTTGATATATAATTCTTATCTTTTCTTCTCTATAAGTAAGATTTAGTTCCTTTTTATTTTTGGTAGTTTTTTTTAATTGATTTTCTGTGTTTTAATAATGATATCCATAGATGTAGTTTTTGGCATTTATCATGGTTGATATTCTCTGAGTTTCCCGGGTCTTTGGTTTGGTGTCTGACATTAATCTGTGGATGCTCTCAAGCATTATTGTTCCAAATATACATTCTGTTTCTTTCTGTCTCTCTTTCTATTTTTTTTTTTTGGGGGGGGGTATTCTCATTATTCTATGGGACAATTTTGTAGTTTTCCCACAGTCCTTAAATATTATGTTTTTTTCTATCTTAGTTCTCTTTGCTTTTCAGATTTTAAAGTTTCTATTGATGTATTTTCAAGNCCCTCCCTGGAAGTTGGGGGTGTGGGCTGCAAGTCCCAACCCTCTAACTACAAAGTTGGCTCCTCTGACAATCAGCTCCCATCCTGCACTTACACAGGTGCAGCCAGCCACCAGCCAACTGATTAGCATGCAAAGTGACACTCATCACTTTGAAGAGTCTAAGGATTTTAGGAGTTGTATGCCAGGAGGTAGAGACAGAGATCAAACATACATATCCATAATATACTATAGTTAAAATTTTGTCAATTATATCTGTATTCTTCCTGATAATTTTATCTGGTTATTTCATTAGTTATTGAGAGAAAAGAATCCTGCAACTATGAATGTGGATTTGTCAATTTCTCACTTTAGCTCAGTTTTTTTTTTTCCAGGTACACTCATGTGCCACATAACATTTTAGTCAACAGACCCCATTTATATCTGTGCAGTAATCTACACTATACAGTCCAGGTGTGTAGTAGGCTGTACCATGTAGGTTCTGTAAGTGCACTCTGTGAGGTTCATGCAGTGACAAAGTTGCCTGATGACACATGTTTCAGAACTTACCCAGTCTTGAAGCACCACGTGAGTGTACTTTGTGGCTCTGTGTTTAGGCACAGACATAGTTATAATTGTTACATCTTCCTCACATACAATCCTGTTATTATGAAAGGGCTCTTTTTAACCCTGTTGATATATTTTGTCTTGAAGTTTCTTTTAGCTAGGATTAATATCTCAACTTAGGCTTTTTATACTTAATGTCAGTGTAGTACATCTTTTTCCATTTTTTAAAATTTTACTCTGTTTGTGTCTTTGTATTTAAATCATGTCTCTGTGGGTGGCATATAGTTGGGTCTTACTTTCCTATCAAGCCTGACAGTCTCTGAATAAAGTAGAATATTTAGTCCAATTCAACTGAAACTAATTATTAATAAGGTTAGAATTAGGTCTGCTATTTTGCTTCCCATTTCCTCTTTCTCTCAATTGCCATTTTGTCCTCTGTTTTTACTTTCCTAAATTGTTTTTGGGTACTCAATTTATTTTCATTTATTTATTCATTTATTGTTCAGTATGATCAACTACTGGCCTTTTAAAATTATTTTCAAAACACTCTATTTTTAGTTTTGGTAAAAAAAACACATATACATATACAAATTTAACCATTTCTTAACCTTTAAGTGGTGTTAGGTATATTCACACTGTTGGGCAGCAGATATCCAGAACTTTTTGTCTTGGAAAACTGCAAGTCTGTACTCATTAAATGACAGCTCTCAATTTCCCTCTCCTCCCAGACCTTGACAACCACCATTCTACTTTGTGTTTCTAAAAATTTGACTAACATCAGTGGAGCCATACAATATCTGTCATTTTGTGAGTGGCTTATTTTCCTTTACATAATGTTCTCAAAGTTCCATGTTATAGCATAAGACTCTGAGGACTTTCTTTGTTCTTAAGGCTATCTAATATTCCTTTATGAAAATAAAATGTTTTGTTTCTGTATTCACATTTCTCTAAGGACATTTGGAGTGCTTCCAACTCCTAAGTGAATAATGTTGCCATGAACACAGTTGTGCAAATATTTTGCACTATTATTAATTATTTTGGATTTATACACAAAATTGGATTGTTGGATTATATGGTAATTCCAATTTTAATTTTTTAAAAAGCCACTATACTATTTTAATAGTGGCTGCATACGTTTACATTTCCACCGACAAAACATTTGACAAGGGTTCCAATTTTGCCTGTGCTTGTTATTTTCTCTTGGGTGTGAAGTAATATCTCATTGTGGTTTTAGTTTGCATTTCTTTAATGGTTAGTGATGTCAAGCATGTTTTCCTATGCTTGTTAGCCATTTGTATATCATCTTTGGAGCAATGTCTGTTCAAGACATTTGCCCATTTTTAAACAGGTTATTTGTTTTTTGACTTGTGAGTTGAAGGAGTCTATGTATCTGGATATTAATTTCTTGTGAGATATATGATTCACAACTATTTCATTTTTGGGGTGCTAATGTAAATAGTGTGTTTTTTGTTTTTTTTACTTCAAATTCCACTTGTTTGTTGCTAGTGTATAGAAAAGTGATCAAATTTGCATATTAATTTTGGATCCTGCAGTCTCGTTATACTCACTTATTAGTTCCTGAATTTTTTTTGTCTGTTTTGGATTTTTTACACACTATCATATGATCTGTAAACAAAGACAATTTTATTTTATTTTCCTTTATGTATGCCTTTTATTTTAAGTAGTTATCTTATTGCATGAGCTAGTACTTTAAGTATGATGTTGAAAGGAGTGGTGAGATGGTGCATTCTTGCTTTGTTTCTGATTTTGTTGGAAGGCTTTGAATTTCTCACCATTAAGTATCATATTAGCTGTAGTTTCTGTGGATAGTCTTTATGAAGTTGATGAAGTTTCCCTCTAATTCTGGTTTACTGAGAGTATTTATCAGGAATAATGCTGTATTTTGTCTCATGCTTTTTCTGGTTCTATGCTGTGATCATAAGGTTTTTCTATTTAAGTCTGCTGATGTGATGGATTATATTAATTCCATGCCTGGAATAAATCTGACTTGATCATAATGCACAGCTTGTTTTAATATATTTTTGGATTAGGTTTACCAATATTTTGTTGAGGACTTTTGCATGTATATTCATGAGCGGTACGTAGTTGTACTTTTCTCTTCTTGTAATGTCTTTTCCTGGTTTTGGTATTGAGGTAATGCTGTCCTCATAGAATGAGTTGGGAAGTACCAATACACAGTAGGGAATTGCTATAATTTCTTCCTTAAATGTTTGGTTGAATTTTCTATTGAACACATCTGGGATGGATGTTTTCTGTTTTGAATATTATTGACGATTTACTCATTTTCTATAACAGATATATGCTTATTCATATTGTGTATTTCTTATGTGTGAATTTTGGTAATTGTATCTTGTGAGGATTTGATCCATTTTCTCTAAGTTTTCAAATGTGTGCAAGAGAATTAGTCATAGTATATCGTTATTATCCTTTTATGTCCACAGGATCTATAGGGATGCCCCTCCTCTCATTCCTAATATTGGTTGTTTTGGTCCTCTTTTTCCATAGTCTTGTTATAGGATTCTTGACGCTATTTATCTTTCCAAAGAATCAGATATTTTGTTCTTTGTTTTTGATTGTCTCTATTGACTTTCTATTTTAAAATTATTAATTTCTGTGTGTGTGTGTGTAAAAGCATACATAACTTTATACATTGTTTCCACTATTATTGAATACAACTTATTATATGTTAGATCAATTCAGAATAAGAAAAATAAAATCTTTTATCTCCACTTATTTCTTCTTTAATTCTCTTCCTTTTTTTATGGAGATCAAGATTTCTGACCTATGTGCATCTTTTTCTTCTGTCAACAGAAATTCTTTTAATATTTCTTGCAAAACATTTACACTGGTAGGAGATTTCCTTAATTTTTGTTCATATGAGAAAGTGTTTATTTTTCCTTCCCTTTTGAAGGATGATTTTACAGGGTAGAGAACTCTAAAGTTGGTGGGTTTCTTCTCTCAATACTTTGAGTGTTTCATTTCACTGACTTCTTACTTGCACGGATTCTGAGCAGATTTTATATGTAATTCTTATCTTTTCTTCTCTATAAGTAAGATTTTGTTCCCTTTTCCTTTTTGCAGTTTTTTTTATTGATTTTTTGTGTTTTAATAATGATATGCTTAGGTGTAGTGTTTAGCATTTATCATGGTTGATATTCTGTGAGTTTCCTGGGTCTTTGGTTTGGTGTCTGACAATCTGTGGAAGCTCTCAGGCATTATTGTTCCAAATATACATTCTGTTTCTCTCTCTTTCTATTTTTTTTGGGGGGGGGGTATTCTCAATATTCCATGGGATAGTTTTGTAGTTTTCCCACCGTCCTTGGATATTATGTTCTTTTCTTTTCTGTCTTAGTTCTCTTTGCTTTTCAGATTTTGAAGTTTCTATTGATGTATTTTCAAGCTCAGAGATTCTTTTCTCAGCCTTGTTCATTCTATTAATAAGCCAATTAAAAACATTCCTTATTTCAGTTACAGTGTTTTTGATCTGTGCTACTGTTTTTATGTTTGTTTGCTTGTTTTGGTACTTTCTTAGAACTCTTATGTGTACTTTCATTGCCCATCTGCTGTTGAGTACTGTCTACTTTATCCATTTGAGCTCTAAGCTAATTCATCAGAGTTTTTTTAAAAATAACTTGTTTGACAGTTTTAACATCCTGATCATGGCTTTTTCTCTATCACTTCCAGCTGTGTTTCTTTGCTTGTTTATTATGGGGTTTTTTTGTTTGTTTGTTTTGTTGTCTTTAAAAGTGCATTGTAATTGTTTTCTTTATAGCCAGATATGATGTAACAGGGAAAAGAAACTACTGTAAATATGCATTCAGTAATGTGGTCTTAAACTGTGGTGGGGGGGAGCTGTCTTAGTCCATTTGTACTTCTACAGCAAAGTATCTTAGAGTAGGTAATGAATAAACAGCAGAATGTTCTGGCATGTTTAAAAATGGTTTCCCTTGAATAAACAACAGAATATTCTGGCATATTTAAAGGTTTTTTTTTTTTCTCTCACAGGTGAAAGCAGGGGGGAGATCTTTTTTACTATTAATTGTAGGATCTTGTTCATGCTTGTGACAGTGAATTACACAGTACTTTGGTTTCCTGCTATGACTGGGTCTCCTGGAGTTTTAACCCTCAGACTTGTCTACAATTCTATTGATGAGCCTCCATCAATTTGTCAGTCACAATTTAAGTTTTCCCACCCTTACACTGTTTCCCACAGTGGTTTCCAATAGTAAATATCCACTCCTGTAAGCCATGACACCGTATATTTGCCTGTCTGCCTCTCTAATCTTTGGGGCAGCAGTGTGCTCTGTGTCCTTTTCTTTCTTACTCTTCAAGAAGAGTTATTGATTTTTCAGTCTTTTCAGCTTTTTATTTGTTGTTACAATGGAGTGATGATTTCCAATTTGTGTGTGTGTGTGTGTGTGTGTGCACGCGCACGAGCGCGCACGCAGGAATAGAACCTGGAATATATTGCTAGAAGTGCCTTTTTAATGCTTATGTAGATAATCAAAGGATTTTGCTTTATATCTATGAAAATGATCAATTTTATTGGTAGACTTAATAGTGAGTTTTCCTTTACTCATGAAATAAATTCAGAAAAATTTTCCTGATCTTCACAGTCTATTTCTCTTCTTCTATCTTTATATATTAATGTTTCTGCAGATTCCCTATATTTTTAATGTTATAGATTCATTAACTCTGATTGCTAAAGGTATCAATGAAATTCTGATATTTTGTAAGTCTTTATTATCAGCTTAAATATCTGTCCTAAACACTGAAATTATATATCTAATTGCCATTTGGACATTTTCACAGATATTTTTAGTATAATGTGTTCAAATATGTGTCACTTCTACATTATAGCTTTTTTTAAAACCCATTTTCCAAATTTTACTTTACAATGCCAATACCTAAGTAGCTGAAATCATGTAGATAGCCTGGGAATAAGACTCTTAATTTTATTCTCTGCACAGCAAATTAGAACCATGTTCTACTCCTGCTTTTTCTTTCCTTTTTTCCTCTTTGCTATGCTTACTGCTGTGTGTCCTGATGACAGCTGATCATCTATTCCTCTGTTTTCTTCCCTCTGATTCTCCCTTAAGCACCTTAACCATTCCCTTCTAGTGGATGAATGTCAAATGCAAATCTGATTATGTCATTTACCTGTCCTTACAAGACCTTATTATTTACACCTCGTGGTTTGAAAAGTGGCAGTATTCACCCCGGGATGGACACAAGGAATTTTTTTTGCACACAGAAAGAAAATTTGGAAATGTTTGGTACATGCTTTTAATTTAAAGTAAGAGTGCATGAGGTTTTAGGTATTTGATTTTGGTCAAATTGTTTTTATCCCATCCCCTTGACATAGTACTGTATGTAGTTCCCTTAATACAGTGGGAGTTGTCTGTGCCCTTCTGACTGGACTTTTGCTGTTTACTCATATACTTTACATGGAAAGGCTAAGCATCTTTGGCATTTCAGTGGAGTTGAAACTGAACACAAAATAGAACTATATTTTCTCATTCTTTCTTATGCCAGTCTATATTGAACTTGGTTCTAAATTAGTTCAACTCACACTTTATTTTCAGGTACGTATTTATACTTATGTCTTCATACTATATCATAGATCCCTTGGAGGAGTAGAATTTTATTCATCCTTTTATCTGTAGCAAGAATGATGGTCTAGATCTGTAAAGTGGCTTTGTAGTAGTATTTTTTGTAATTAATAATTTATTACAGTTGCAGAATCTTCCTGTTGTGATTTTTCTTTCTTCTACCATATGGAATACTGTACCTGTTGTAAGATTCATATGTACATGCACCCACAGAATTATGAAGTTCCAGATTTCCATTTTGTGAACCAGGTCTGGTGACTTGAGTTGAGGAGAAATGTGCTGTTACAGGGGCTAGTGTACTTTGAGGATGTTGCTGTGGACTTCACATGGGAGGAGTGGCAGGACCTTGATGATGGTCAGAGGACTTTGTACAGGAATGTGATGCTGGAGACCTACAGCAACCTGGTGGCATTGGGTGAGTGAAACTCCTCATTGTCAGAGGCAGTACTTTCTTCGGGTATGGTAAATAAAGGAACCACTTATAAGATTTAATGCTATTTAGGT